AACAAAACTATTAAATTTGTACTGGTCTGGAAGGCAAATGGTTATTTTGCACTGTAGATGCAATAGGCTGCATTTAGAATAGATTGAAGATAAAATACCTTAAAAATTGTTTTGGGAGGGGGGAAAAAAAAAGGTATTGACTCGTATCCTTTTCACAGAAGGTGTGTGCTTGCCTAGCAAACAAGGGGTGTTAAACTTAAAATCCACACAATCAAACCTCTCTTCAAAATTCCACGCAGAACTACTCGCAGTTGAAACTGAAGCCTTTTTTATTTCATATAGAAGACTGACTACAGGCGAGGAAATGATGCAACTTAAAATTGTCATGTGCAAAACATGCCGATAAACTGGATGAGAATTGTTGGCATGTTTAATTATCTTTGAACTTTTTGCCTGTGTGTCATAATGTTTGTTGTTGCTGTATATGTGACTTGATGCATATAAATCTTTAGCTTCCCCTTCCCACCCACAACAGGAACAGAGACCGGGTATTGCAGAATGACAATAAAAACAGAACCAGCTTCTGAAAATACCTGCATGGAGAAAACAGTGGTCGGGAAAACTGATGACATGACAAACTTCATGGATGACTTAACCCTCAGCTCACCGAAGAAAAGAGAGTCATCTTTCAGATCTAAGAGAAGTTGTGATAGGTCGTCAACAAGGTCATCTAGCAGATCCTCTAGCAGTTCACGGTCCAGTTCAAGTAGTTCCTCTTCAGCTTCATCCAGGAGCTGGAGCCGGTCCAGATCTAGATCAAGGTCACGGGCTAGAAGAAATGGTTCCCGAAGGTACAGAAGATACTCTCGCTCATATTCCAGAAGCCGGTCGAGATCACGTGGCTACATGAGGTACCGAGGAAGGTACCACGCCAGGCACTACAGGCGGTACCACCGCTCTCCTCCGAGGTACAGATCCCGCAGTAGGTCCTGGTCTCGTGGAAGATCGTATTACAGAAGGTCCTATTCGAGAAGCAGATCACCTTCAAGAGGCCGAAGATATTACGGATTTGGGCGAACAATATATCCTGAGGCTTACAGGAACTGGAGAAGCAGGTCACGAACAAGATCTCGGAGTAGGTCACCTCTGCATTTGAGTGAAAAAGGTACTTTTTTTTTTTGAGACTTTTGTTGTGGGAGAACCTCAAAACATACAATTTATCTTAACCAGTTGAATTCTCATCTGTTTACTTGCTTTGTAGAGCATAATTGGTAATGGCAATGTGGAGGAAAATCTGTTGTTACAAAAGTGTATTTAAAAAAAAAAAGTAGTTCAGAGTATATTCTTTGCACTTCAGCTGAAGCTAAATGTCCCAAGTTCTGAGGAGAATCATCACAGTTGATGCTTACATACACGCAGCAATAGTAACCGTGCAGGTTTTAGGCTTGCGTGAGTAGGTACATGTTGATTTAAACATAAGAGAATGACCCTTTTTCCTTCTTGCAGACAAAAGGGAACTACTGGAAATTGCAAAAGCTAATGCTGCAAAAGCTCTGGGAACAGATAACATAGTCTTGCCAGCAAGCTTGAAGATCCTTACTCCTTCCAAAGAGATAAAAAATGAGAAACAAGAGTGTGAAGATCCTGGAGAGTCAGCTGAGGTACGTATGAACTGGAGTGTTCTCAAGGAAAAGGTAAACACTTCTTAAAACTTGTTGTCTGCGTGGATGTGTTATAGTTTTTAACTGTGGAGTTTGTGATTATGAATTCAAACCCTTGCAGATTTACCAGAATGCTAAAAACTACTCTAGAAACCACTGTAGACTTTGAAGCTGAAAGTAGTGTGGACTCTTAAGAGGTGGTTGATCCACTGAGCACATGCAGGCTTTCCAGTCGCGATAGGCTGGGAAGCAGAGGTGAATGTCGTTTGTTCCTTTGAGTTGTTCTTGCCTGTTGCTTAGACTAGCTCATGTGTTTCTGACCTAAAACAAGGAGTCTCCTTACCAAACCTAGTGAATAGTGTGGGGTTTTTTAAAAGGTTAAAATCTTTCTACCCTCTCTAACTGTGAAAAGCTTTTCATATGCAACAAACTTGTTTCCCAGAAATTACATACCCAAGCACACAATGCATTTTACATACTTTATTTCTGTCTTATAGAAATCATGACTATGGTTCCAGACATGATGAAGAAAATCTGTTGGTAATTAAGGGACTTGTGGGCTATAGCTGCTGTGAATTTAAGGGAGGGAGAAACTTGAGCAGCTTAAACTGAACTTGAATTTTAGTTTGGCTCTGTTGTTACGGTGTGTTAACCTGAGTGGTGGTAAATACAAAACTGCGATAACTGCTAGATCGAGCAGATAACTGCTGTTTCAAATGGAAGTAAATTTACTAAGGGTTTTAGACAAATGGTACAGGCATCCCTTTCATAATATATGCAATATATTCCAGATGTTGAGAGAGTACAGAAGAAGAGGCCTGCATCACTTGCAGATAAGTTTATTGTCATTATCCAAAGCTCTGTAGGATGGATATGCAGAACTTCATGCAACTTACTCTACTGCTACACTTCATTGTATGGCAGTCCATGCTTTGAATCATTTGAATCCTTTTTAAAACTGTAACTGGGGCATGGATATCAGGTCACATGTGAATTGGCACAATGACATTGATAAAAACATTCAGTGTTTTCCAGTTTGAGTTCAACACTGATCTGTTTGTGTATTTAGTAGCTTACAGCTACTTTTGACGTAAATATCTGAAAGACTCTACCTGAAAGTTCATATTCTCTAGTAACTGCCTTAACTTGCACGGAATAATGTATCCTCCCACTGAAGCTGCATGTGCTCTTCTCTAGCAACCCAGAAGACTAGCGGAAGACATGACCAAGAGTGGAATGGAGAGAGCAACCATACAGAGGAGCATTTCTTTCAGTCCTAATGTAAGTGTGACTTCCCAAGATCCAGAACTTCATCCCTCGTGTCAGGCTTTTCCCAGTGTTGGTTGCCAGATTAAAGATCTTATTAATAGTAACAAGTTGAATTTAATGGTTTGATAATTACTTTCCCAGAGGAGTTAGATCAGTACTTTAGCAGTGGAGCACTGTAAGCACACTACAGCAGTGTATTTATTTAAAATAGACGTTTACCTTTCAGTGCTTAATAATGTTGAATGCCTACACTGTACTATAGACATAAAAGTGTATGCCAGAACTGGTTTACACCAGAACGTAGTTCAAGTTATGTGTTTGGATATATTTTAATAATGCAGAACTAAGGGAAGAAGCAGCTTCCCTGAATCCTGTGTCAGTTAAGTGTCAGTAGGCATCAGGTCTCCTATGAGCTGATAAACCCCTTGAAGTTGACAGGTCTTGCGGCGTTCCTTCTCGTTCCACTGTTTCTAAAGGAAATTTCTTTTTCCAGAATACAATGGCAAAACCAGTACTACAGAAGCCAGTGAGCCATGTTGTTAAAGAACCGGCAGTTTCTCCGGGAAGAGAAGAGGACAGAAAGGGGAGTCCCTATGGGCAATGGGTTCCTGTCAAGAAGGAGGAAAAGAAAACATTTTTAAACTTCTCGCCTAGAAGTGCACCGTTGCGGGCACGCTAGCGTATTTTTCTCGCTGTCTCTGACTGCAGCATTATAGATACTTCAGTAGTGACATCTGAAATTTTTTGATCAGGTTGAAGACTTGTTAATACTGAGTATTTATTTTGAGATCTTAATTTTGGAATCTTAGGTTTCTCTTTCAGATCTAGAGCACAGTGATCCAGAAGCCACAGATGGGAATCTTGTGTATATTTGTAAATATTTTTGTATTGCTTTAATGGACTAGAACTTAACAGGTGGGTAACTTTTTCTAAACAATAGTTCAGTAGCTGTTATTTTGGACACTTGACTTACATTGTGTAACTGTTTAAGTAAATAAACTTTAGTTTTGCACTGGCTTCTCCATGTGTCAAGTATCAGACCTGTGTTTGGAAGTAAGTTGACTATGTCCTGGAAGCAGTTAACTATTTCCAGGTTCAGCTTCCACTTACCTTCTGTTGCGCTCTGTGATAACAGTAGGGTAATTCTTGCATCATTCTGAAAGGACCATTGCACTGGAATTGTTCCTGCCCAGGCTGTGGCTGGTTCAGGGCCTCCAGAGTAACTTCCCCAATAGCCCTCTGCAAGCGGGGAGCTTGCGCAGGCTGTGTACCCGACTGCTGTATGTGAAGCTATTGCCACTCTCGCTGTCCAAAGCGTTGCACCCGAGCAGCTGTCACTTCTGCTGACTTCTAATGCTGAACTTGACTGAGTGCTGGGTTGCGTTTTGATTTTAGGTCGCTTTAAAAACAGCCTTCACGGGCTCACTGTACAAGGCAGTAAGCGAATTGTGAAGTTAGCGGAGGAGGCAGTGCTCCAGAACGTAGCAGTATGGTGCTCCCCACAACCTTTGTGAAGAAAAGTATTGCAAGTAGGTCAGCTGGCTGTTGCGTGGTTTTGGGAGCAGGTGAACTCATTTTTTTGTAAAAATAAATGGTTAGTAAAATAAACTGACTTTGACAGCTACAGTCTGGAAGCTTCTTTAAGAAACTTAAATTGCCAAGACAAGGCTGGCAAAGGTACTAAGGATTATGTATTTTGTGGTGACCCAAGGTGAATGCTTGAGGCAGTCCCTGCTCCTCGGCCAGGACAGCTCTGCTGTGCAGGTGCTGCCCATGGGAGAGCTCAAGCATGTTCCTCAAACATTCCTTCATCTTCCTGCTCAACAAGTGTTTTCAGGGACTTTACCAGTCCTCAGCTACTGAAGAATGAAGATAAGCTTTATTCTAAATTGTGTCATTAAGTTTGTGTTTATTTAGAACACGGAATTACACAAGCTGGTTACTTCTGCAAGTAAAAGCTATATACAGCTGCAGTTGTTACACAACTTACTTCTATCAACATGAAGTATACTATTGGCTTTACAAATTACTGAGAGGCCTACAGAGTATTTTTCTGATACAACTTAAAATTGGCTGCACAATCTAACAGACGTAGAGGGCTGTGGTACGTGCGCCGCTGGAGACGGCGGTTCAGACGGCTGTTCCTCTCTCCAAGTTCTGTTTGATCTCGGCTGTGTACTTCCCGTAGAACCTCTCTGCCTTCTTGTTGAACTTGGCGTTTCTCTCGTTAATGTAGTCGATGTCTGCATCGTCGTTGTAAGGACGTCTTCGGCTGTATTTATCACGCTTTTCAATTCTGTTAAGACAAAAAGCAGTGTTCTGAAGACCGTGGGTGAATCCTGCAGACTTGATGACACAAAGCTGCTCTGTGTCACACACTTTGTTTTATCTTCGTATTTACTCACTGTTTCTCAAGATCTGCAACCATTCTATCAACCCCTTCCTTGGATGGCACGTGAGTTCCGTGGAGAAGACTGTCGGATGTGGGATAAAGCGCTTCACCACTGGACAGGAGTAACAGAGGGGCAGCAGTTTACAGAACCGTACCGACAGCTTTGAGATTTCACTGCTTCTGTCTGGTTCTTAATTTAACACTTGGGGCACTTAGCTCGTACTGAACTGTGGGAGTCCCAGATTCAGGTGAGAATGTGTTGGTACTAGAAACAAGCTACTAATAATTTTCAGAGACAAAAGCACACGCCTACAAAAGATACAGGAACCCCACACGGGAACTAAATCTGTCCGAACGCAAACTTGGCAAGTTCTCATCTGTTCTCATCATCGTCTGTTCTTAAACCATGCCAGGCTGCTTAAAAAAACCAAACCCCAAACCTACTCTGAGAAATGAGTAATCTACTCAGGCATTTAAATACAATCTAACTGACAAAATATTTCTTCAAACTCAGTAATGCCAGGTTTGAGGAAATGAACCTCATCAATTACGCTGCTGCCCCCCTTCCCTACCGAAGCGGCGATTGCAGAGATCCTGTTAAAAGGCTAATTAACATTACAGCGTATACGAGCATATGCACGTGCTGAAAGGATTGGTTTAAGTCTTCAGTGTTTGCTAATAATGCACAAATACCACAACCAATATCGGATGACTGAAATCAAAACTTACTATTGCTCTTTCAGCTTCTCGTACTGCTCCAGATCAGGTTTGATCTGCCGGGTTAACCTCTGGTACTGGCGCAGCTGAGCAGCCGCGTAATCTTTGGGAGGAAAGGAATTAGCATCAAGGTGAAGGTTTTTATTTCACAACTTGGCAAAGGTGTTTGTTACGAACGCAGACATTACCTGAAAATCCTAGATCTGGATTTTTCCTCTTCTTTTTCCTTTCCCATCTCTCGGCATCCTCAGCGCTGATCTCTAGCAGTTTAACTCGCTCGTAGTCTTCTCCTCTCGCTGCACATTCCTAACGCAGCACAAAGAACGCTTCAGCCTTAACAATAAGATAGCGGCCGGGCGCCAAACTTAGTCAGAACTGCCTAGGTCAGCCCAGTCAACCTCTAGTGCAGGATGGTAATGTCAATAATCAGGAGGCTAATTAGGAGATGGATTTTTTTGGGGGGTAACATCTGTGTAAGCTCCCAGGAAGTGGGGCTCAGCACCACTGCAGGCGCTTGGGCTGACGGCCGGGTTATGGGAAGCTGTAATCATGTGTTTACCTTCTTTTTTTCCTCCACCTTCAGCTCCCACTCCAGCCGAGCTTTTTTGGCTTCCCAGTTTGCTGGCAATTTCAGTCGCTTGTCTTCTTCCACCACTTCTTGGTGATTCAGCTTCCGAGCCTCGTTCTAGGAACAAACCCCTTTGTTACGCACGGGGGCAGCGCTCCCTCACG